TCTCAAGCTTACTGTATGAGAACTCTTCAAAACATAGTTATTGGGGCGAGAAACTCACATAGATCTTAACCTTGCGAATTTTGTTATAAGTTCTAATTTTGTGCACTTTGTTGCAGCATCAACTATGGTACAGCATTGGAATCAGAAAAGAGCATAAAGCAGCAGGTTGATAGTTACATCGACAAAGCTTTAATCTGGGAGTTACCACAGTAAATGAAGAAATCACCTGGAAGTGAGAGATGAGGCGACAGATGTTGTTTGATGCCCTAAAAACAAATGGGGGTATAAAAGCCAACATCAAAGGAAATCTCCACACACTTTTTACATCAATCAACCCTCACTTCAAGAAAACCTCCCAACTTTCAGTTCGAAGAAGACAGGAGGAAGAGTGGAGATCCGAAGCAGTTGCTGAAGCAGAAGAGAGAGAGAAGTACGCAATGAGCTGAACTTTCAGCTCCTTCTTTTCACTCTTGCGTCTATTTCCCATTGTAGTTCTTCTTGTTGTCTTTTTGCTTTCCCTATGACTATGTATAGCTAAGCCACTTGAAAGGGGGAAATGTTATGAACTCTTCTCTTGGGCTGTATACTGTGCTTTTAGTGTTAATGATGAATGAGTATTGAGTTGAAGTTGTGTTTAAAGTTATTTTCAGCATGCTTGATCACCATCGTTGTAATATCTCCTTGTTAGCTCTTGGAAAACTATAATAGGGAGTGTTAAACTTCAATTTATGCTAGAATCTACTCGCGCTAGAGAGTGAGTACTTAGGAATATGGCTCATCTAGCATAGCTATAAATTGCTTCTAAATGCTGTTAAGTTTGTCTAAAAACCCTAATAGCAGGAAATTTGGGATGCCTGGAAAGGCTCCATGTCTGTTTGGTTAGTATTCACATTGTTAATGCTATAGCATTGTTTCAGCAGCCCAGAAAAAGTCACATTCAAATTTCCCCCTTACCCCGTTAAAGAAAAATTAGTTAACCATTTCCATTGTTTACTGTTTTTGTTAAAAATCTACTTAAATTTAATTTAGGTGCAAGGTTATAATATTCACTGTGCATTGCAGCTGTTATTTTCTATATTACCCGTGTTGTATTTACTACCCAACATTTTGCGTTTATGTTTTAGCTTTCTTGAGCTTTTATTAAAGTGTTTAGTGAGCATTCCTTGTGGAATCGAACTTTTTATTACTTGCTACAAGGACGTGTACACTTGCACATAAGGGACACGATATCGTTCAACAAGTTTTTGGCGCCGTTGCCGAGGAATTGTTTACAATGTACACTTTATATTTTTGCTTGAGAAAGTTTGTGCTAGAAGAATTTCTTTTAATTACTATTGGGTGGATTTTGAAGGTGAGTGCATTATTTGCAAGGGCTAGAATATCTGCTTGACAACGAGATTGAACGTACATTTCATGGGAGAAGAAGAGAGCAACGTAGACAGCAAGTGGAAGCTAACCCAATGGATCAATTACCAAGGCTCCCCAACCCTGTAGTTGAAGGAATTAACGAGGGAGAAGTAGTTGTACTAGCAGCTGCTCCCCCTCTTAACGTCATTCTGTTGGTAGATGACGGAGAAAGGGTTATCAGAGCCTATGCTGCACCTGCAATTCATGGTTTTCATCCAGTTATAGCAGGTCCAGCGATAGAAGCTGAGAGGTTTGAATTAAAATCGATTATGTTCCAGATGCTTCAAACAGTGGGGCAATTTTTTGGAAATCCATCTGAGGACCCTCATCTGCACTTGAGGTATTTTCTGGAAGTAAGTGACTCATTCAATATGCAAGAAGTCTCTAAGGAAGCATTGCGTTTGAAATTGTTTCCATATTTGCTGAGCGACAAGACAAGAGACTGGTTGAACTCTATGCCAGCTGAGTCCATTACATCTTGGAATGATCTTGCTGAGAAGTTTTTTAATGAAATATTTTCCCCCAAGCAAGAATGCCAAGTATCAAGGAGACATTAATTATTTCCAGCAGAGGCATGGTGAATCTGTGAGCAAATCGTGAGAAAGGTTTAAGGAACTTTTAAGGAGATGTCCCCACCACGGTTTTCCAACGTGTATCCAAATAGAGACCTTCTACAATGGGCTGAATGAAGCACCACGACTAATAGTTGATGCATCTGCTAATGGAGCATGTTATCTAAGTCGTATGTAGAGGCAGTTGACATATTGGAGAGGATTTATGCTAATAACTACCACTAGTCAGATTCTAAAGCAGTAAATGAGAGGAACAATCATGAGGCTAATGATAATGAGGCAATGGCTGCACTGAATGATCAAATCGCCAACCTAACCAACATGGTAAAGAACATGAACACCGCCACAACATCATCGAATAGCCCTGGAGTAAGTAAAGTGATGGCCATCTCTTGCTCTTACTGTGAGGGTGAGCACCATTATGACTCTTGCTCAAGAAATCCAGCCTCTGTCTTCTATCTAGGAAACCCAAACAGAAACAATCCTTACTCAAACACCTATAACCCAAGATGGAGACAACACCCCAATTTTAGTTGGGGAGGAAACTAAGGGAACCGGTGAACCAGAACACTTCCCAATATCAGCAAAAAGTTGCCCAGCAACCAGGACTACTGATGCCGAACCAGCAACAAGGAACAAGGCCAGCAGCCAATTCTTCCAATTCCATGGAAACTATGATGAGAGAATACATGACCAGAAATGATGCACTGATTCAAAGCCAAGCTGCTGTGTTTAGAAACTTGGAAGTTCAACTGGGACAAATGGCAAACAAGTTAAAGAACAGACCCAGGGTACTTTACCGAGTCACACTAAAAATCCAAAAAGGGAAGGGAAGGAACAGTGTTAGGCCTTGACCCTACAGTGTGGGAAAGCACTACCACCACCATATCCTGTGCAGGTGCAAACAGACAAAATGGAACATCATGCAGAACCGCAGTTAGAAAATATAGAAGAGGATACTGCAGAGAATATGCCAATAGATGAAGATAAAGTTAACCGTACTGTAGCATCGCAGAAGCATGAACTACATTAAGGACCAACAGTGCACTAGGAGATAGAAAGGCAACCTGAACCTGAGATAAACAGAGAAAAAGAGCTGCAGAAGCAGAACCAGCGAAAGAGGTATCTATAGAGACTCAAGTGCATAAAAAGGTAAAAGTGCCTGTGGAATACAGATCACCACCTCTATACCCTCAGAGGCTCCAGAAGAAAACTCAAGATTTACAATTTGATCGTTTTTTAGAGGTGCTGAAACAACTTCATATCAATATACCTCTAGTAGAAGCACTTGAACAGATGCCTAATTATGTTAAATTCCTCAAGGATATTCTGGCCAAGAAGAGAAGGCTAAGGGAATTTGAAATAGTGGCTTTAACAAAGGAATGCAATGCCATCTTAACAGGTAAGCCTTCTAAAAAAGTGGGAGATCTAGGGAGTTTCGCTATCCCTGTGTCAATAGAAGGCAAAAATGTGGGAAATGCTCTATGTGATTTGGCTGCAAGCATAAACTTGATGCCCTTATCATTGTCTAAGAAGTTAATAATTGGGAAGGCGCGACCCACCACGATAACCCTACAGTTGGCTGATAGGTCAATCACACATCCAGAGGGTAAGATAGAAGATGTTTTAGTGCAGGTGGACAAATTTATCTTCCCAGGTGACTTTATCATATTGGACTACGAAGCTGACAAAGAAATTCCAATCATCTTAGGAAGGCCTTTCCTTTGCACTGGCAGAGCTTTAATAGATGTGTAAAATGAGGAATTAACGATGAGAGTAAATGACCAACAGGTGACATTTTCTGTTTTTAATGCTATTAAGTTCCCAGCCGATGTGGAAGAATGTTCTCTGTTAAGGATAGTAGATTATTTACTTACGCAGGAGATGCAAACTGAGGAGCTACTAGACCAGCTGGAAGAGGAGCTACGCATAATCTTTGAAGCAAAGAAGAAGGAAGCAAAGTTGATCAAAACTAGTGAAAGAGGAACACAAGAGGAGATAGTGTTCAATAGGGCATTTGAATGACTAGAATTAAAAGATAGAGAGCAAACACCGCTACAACCTTATGTGGAAAAAGCTCCTAAGTTGGAATTGAAAATTCTACCAACTCACCTGAAGTATGCTTATTTGGGAGAAGCTGAGACACTGCCAATCATTATTGTAGTTGACTTGGCTGAAGAAAAAGAATCTCGACTTCTAGCAATGTTGAAGAATCATAAGAGGGACATTGGTTGGTCAATAGCAGACATCAAAGGGATTAACCCAAGCTACTGTATGCAAAAATCAATTTAGAAGAGAGTTGTAAAAACTCAATTGAACACTACAGAAGACTTAATCCTACCATGAAGGAAGTAGTCAAGAAAGAAATCATCAAGTGGCTTGATGCTGGGATAATTTACCCTATAGTAGACAGTGATTGGGTGAACCTAGTCCAATGTGTGCCCAAAAAAGGAGGAATTATAGTGGTGCCAAAACGACAACAACGAGTTGATTCCTACAAGAACAGTAACATGTTGGTGAATTTGTATGGATTACAAGAAATTGAATAACGCAACCAAGAAGAACCATTTCCCACTACCATTCATTGATCAAATGTTAGATCGCTTGGCTGAGCAAGAGTATTATTGTTTCTTGGATGGGTATAGTGGTTACAACCAAATTACCATAGCCCCTCAAGACCAGCAAAAGACCATTTTCACCTGCCCATATGGTACATTTGCATTTAGAAGAATGTCCTTTTGATTGTGCAATGCTCCAGCAACGTTACAGAGGTGTATGATGGCAATTTTCTCAGACTTAATAGAAACTGTGGTTGAGGTCTTCATGGATGATTTTTCAGTCTTTGGAAAGGACTTCAATGAATGTCTAAGCAATTTGGAGCAGGTGTTGAAGAGATAAGAGGAGACTAATTTGGTTCTCAACTGGGAGAAATGTCACTTTACGGTGAAGGAAAGGATAGTGTTGGGCCACAAAGTATCCAAGAAGGGAATAGAAGTGGACAGAGCCAAGATTGAAGTAATAGAGAAGTTGCCACCACCTACATCAATCAAGGGAAATCGATGTTTTCTTAGGCATGCAGGGTTTTACAGAAGATTCATCAAGGATTTCTAAAAGATTTCTAAACCCTTATGCACTCTGTTGGAAAATGAAAGAATTTTTTACTTTTCTTCTGATTGTTTGCAGGCTTTCACAACCTTAAAGGAAGGTTTTATCCAGACTCCCATAATGACTGATCGGATTGGAGTAAGCCATTTGAAGTCATGTGCGACGCCAGTGACTACGCAGTGGGTGTTATGCTGGGACAGAGGAAGGGCAAGCTTATTCATCTTATCTACTATGCTAGCAAGACGTTAGTGGAGGCTCAGCTCAATTACACCACCACCGAGAAGGAGCTTCTAGCAATGGTGTTTGCTTTTGATAAATTCATAGCCTATCTGATTGGAACAAAGGTGATTGTGTACAGAGACCATGCAGCCATCAAGTATTTGCTAGCAAAGAAGGATGCCAAGCCAAGGCTGATAAGATGGGTGCTACTGCTGTAAGAGTTTGACCTAGAAATCAGAGATAAGAAAGGGTCAAAGAATCAGGTAGCTGATCATTTATCCAAAGTGGAATTTGAAGGACTCGTGGAAGGACATGATATCATACAAGACACATTCCCTGATGAACAATTGCTAGCTGTGATAGAGAAGAAAAGGGATCTCGAACCATGGTTTGCAGATATGGCCAACTATATAGCTAGTGACATCTTACCATCAGAAATGAAGAAGCAACAGTTAAAGAGGTTCCTCAATGACAGTAGATTTTATTACTGGGATGAACCTTATTTGTATAAGTTGTGCAAGGATCAAATTATGCGTAGATGTGTGGACAACACTGAAGCATTGACAGTGTTGGAGCATTGCCATTCTGCTCCTTATGGTGGCCATCTTAGGATACAAAAAACAGCTTCAAAGATCTTTCAAAGCGGGTATTACTAGCTGCCAATCTTCCAAGATGCATACTCATATGCAAAAAGCTGCGATAAATGTCAAAGAGTGGGGAACATTTCCAATAGGTCTGAGATGCCCTTGAACTTTATCTTGGAAGTAGAACTTTTTGATGTCTGGGGGATAGACTTCTGTTGGGTGTGTTGCCCTAAACTCGTAGTTTGTATTTTGTAAAAACACATGTCTATTTAATAAAGTTTTATTCAATAAATTTGTTGTTGAATCATAGCTTTGCATTGTCCAAAATCCATTAAACTAAACATCCAAGGTTATTTATGATGTAATCGGGACATATATATACTGGGTATATAGTTGATATACGGGATATATATTTGATATACCCTTGATATATGAATGGATAATGTCCCGTGAATAACCTAAAGGGTCTATAGTATATGGATAAGGTTGAATACCTTATCCTAACAACACTATGGATACGGCCCACTCTGTAAAGGTTACAGACAACTCGATCCAGGTCGTTCGTGTGGAGACATGCGAGTGGGGGTTGTTAGGTGTGTTGCCCTAAACTCGTAGTTTGTATTTTGTAAAAACAAATGTCTATTTAATAAAGTTTTATTTAATAAATTTGTTGTTGAATCATAGCTT